ACGCACATTCAGGTACTGTTAAGTTCTTCAACGAAAAAGAAATATCAGCTCACTCAGAACTTACAATGCCGAGATTGAGATCGTCGTACTCGTCAGGTAGATCAGAGTATTCTCTTGTGGAGCCATAAAAGTTTAAGAAGCATGGTCCAAACCTTGGCAGAAAACCTGGTGTAACACAAAGAAAGAGAAAATAAATAGCCGTAGAGTTCATTGGTTTAGGGTTCTGCTATTAGAGATACATATAAAGTGACTGCTGTTGTCATTGCTGTTGTTGATGATGCTGTTATAAATCTTCCCACTACAGTATATAAACCTCTGCAACCCAATAAGCTTGGGATACCTGTGCACGAAAAAATTGACTGCGGTCGAAACTCCCCACAAAAGCCACCTCGGGGACAGTGGAAAGTGGACGTTGTGGAGAGGTGACCATTTTGAGGAGGTAGGGGTGATATATGACACCTGTTTTACAAAGGATGCAAAATTTATTTTCGTAAAAAATGCTTTACTTAGTATATAAACTGTACGAGACACAATCAAAATGTATTAGTAAAACATAAACTAAACAGAAAAGAGACCAACGACCCGCAGTAAGAATCAAGTTGGTGACCTTTCGCAATAAAAATGGCGTTTTCTAGTATACACTGCTCACGATCAGGCAGATACGTGGCAGGTAGAGTGAAATACAACATCAAGTCACTGAAAGATCCCTTTATTGCCCAGCAATTTTCTATTACGACCAGGAATAAATACATACCTCTTACTAACCGAGTTCGAGGTCCGTACTATAAGTTACGGACCGAGGTTTTTCCCCTTCGATTTATGGCCCAAGCGCGGAGCGCGCGAGTCATAAACCGAAGGGGAAAAAACGAGGATCCGTAACTTACAGTACCGATCGAGAAGACGAGGTTAGTAAGATATTTATTATATCTCTACTGTGTGCCTGACGGGTTCGGAAACGATTTCTATTCACGCAGACTCGGAAATGCTTCAAATTTCTGACGCACCTCGAAAGCAAAACGAGTCAGTTTGAAATTGTATTTAAGTCGTTAGCACGCTTTCTTACACAATTTAGAGTGTAGAGAAGTTTAATGCTTTCACTTGCTATAAAAGTTAAGAACACCTGGCGATAAATACGAAACAGTTTGGCAACAAAACCAACTTTGAATTTTAGCGGGCCGTACAGGAGAGTACGGCCCGCTAAATTGACCAATCACAGCACGCGTACTAATTGAGAGATATAATAACAAGCCCTCCACGATATGCAGGACCCCGGAGATCCAATAGACAAAAGTTGGGATAGCCTGAAGAAGATATGGACAGAAGCAAGCGAGGAAATACTTGGGCGAAAGAAACAACATAGCAAAGCTTGGATATCAAAAGACACCGTCTCAAAGGTCATCTTGAAAAGATCAAAGAAAGAGACCCTTAACAGGGCACGCACAAGACTGCAAAAGGAGAGGGCCCATGCCGAGTACACTGAAGCAAACAAGGATGTTAAAAAAAAAGTGTGAGGAAGGACAAGAGGAAGTTCATTGATGACTTAGCAAAAGAAGCAGAGGCTGCAGCTAGGCAACATTACAAGAAGGCACTTTATGATACAACTAAGCAACTCTCAAGGAAGTTTAAGGCAACAAACCACCAAATTAGGGATTTAAATGGTCGTCTACTAACAACAACAGAGGAGCAACACAAAAGATGGGTAGAGCACTTTCAACAGCTCCTCAATAGGCCTCCCCCAATGGAACCTCCAGTACTGCCAGCAGCTAACCAGGAACTTGACATAAGCTGTGAACCCCTAACCAGGGCTGAAGTTGAAAAAGCGATCAAATCCCTAAAGAACAACAAATCAGCAGGTCCTGACAACATCCCTGCGGAGGTATTGAGAGCCGACATCAGTACCTCAGTGAACATGCTCCATGGCCTAACAAAGATCTGGGATCAGGAATACATACCATCAGAATGGAGAGCGGGGATCCTGGTTAAGCTAGCTAAGAAAAGCGACCTTAGTATGTGCAAGAACTATTGGGGAATCATGCTCCTGTCAACCGCTGGAAAGGTCTTAAATCGTATAATCCTGGAACGTATGAGGGAAGCCGTGGATAGGATACTGCGGGAGAACCAAGCAGGCTTCAGACCATCAAGGTCAACAGCAGATCAAATAACTACCCTGCACATAATCGTGGGGCAGTCGCTTGAATGGAGGACGTCACTCTTTATAAATTTCATTGACTACGAGAAAGCCTTCGATAGCCTGGACAGAAATGTCCTGTGGGACCTAATGGCCAACTCCGGAATCCCCAGCAAGATCATATCACTTGTTAGGAACACGTATGAGGAAACAAACTGCCGTTTTCTTCATGAGGGAGGCTTAACTGAAAGCTTTAGTATCAAATCAGGCGTAAGACAGGGCTGTCTCCTATCGCCATTCCTTTTCCTTCTTGCAGTTGATTGGATTATGAAAGAGAGGACAACTGGCTCAGGAAATGGAATTCAATGGACCCTTGTAGACCAACTCGAAGATCTGGATTTTGCCGATCATTTGGCACTTCTGGCACACACTCATACTCGGGTGCAGGCAAAAACCACTAAGCTTGAAGCTATCTCATCTAAACTAGGGCTTAAGATCAATACCGATAAGACAAAGACCATCAGGATTAATAGCAATGCGAGTGAGCAGATCAGGATCAATAATCTCGGCATAGAAGATGTAACATCCTTCACATACTTAGGTAGCGTTATTAATATCACGGGAGGAACAGATGAAGACGTAGTGGCAAGGATAGGGAAAGCACGCAGCGCGTTTAATACCTTAGCAAACATCTGGAGATCCAGGGAAATAACAACAACCACCAAAGTCTGTAATGCTTTACGGGTCAGAAACATGGAGAATGACTGAGAAGACCGTGTCAAAACTACAGACCTTTATTAATAGATGCCTGCGTAGAATCCTTGGCATCTACTAGCCTGCCACTGTCAGCAACGCTAAACTGTGGGAAACCACAGGGCAAGCACCTGTGAGACAAGAGTTGACAAGCAGAAAATGGACATGGATCGGCCACACACTCAGAAGAACAAATTACTGCATTGCCCGACAAGCTCTTCGTTGGAACCCGCAGGGAAGTAGACGGAGAGGGAGACCGCGCAACAGCTGGAGAGACACAGACCACACCATCCAGTCGAGAGGTCTTTCCTGGCACCAGCTGGAACGCCTGTCCAGGGACAGAGGGGACTGGAGGGACTTTGTTAGTGGCCTATGTTTCGAGATGGAATAATTAAAGGCTTCAGATCAGATCAGATCAGATCACACTCAGCGCAAGGAAATTTAAAATAGGTACCTGATGTGTACATGTCTCTATCGCAAAATAAAATATTATAATTAACCGAACCATTTGCATTGGCGGCAATATGCTTTCAGGTGTGAAAAAAGAGTGGTTAGTCTAAATCTGGCACCAAAATCATGGAACATAACTAACATTAAAGAAATGTAGAAGGGTTGATAGTTTCTTGTCTGTGAAGAGAAGTCGGTCGCTTTTAGAGCTGGAAAGAACATGTTTAAATTAGCCAGAGCACAAATGTTCAGGCCAATGCCATGTAATGTTTAGATTTAATGACGATTTGGATATTGCAAAAATAAGGTTTTGTATGGAGGCAAGAAGCTTTGCCTTCCAGAAATCTTTTCGGTTATTTAACACTACAAAAAGGAGCTGCTGGCATATAACAATTCAGATTGGAGAAAGAAAGAGGGGTAAAATATTAGGAAGAATTGAAAATTCCAGGCTCTTAAACGGAAAGGCAGAGATTTAATAGCAGTTTGAAAACGTGCAAAATAACAAGGATTTGTTTGGAAAACCACAGGAGCGTGACTGAAGGGCAAATCGTCTTTTTCCCTTGCAAATCCTTCTAATTTCTAACGCCCTTGAAAATTCCCTTCTAAAGGATAGAAACCAAAAAATCTGCCTGTAAGCTTCTACATAAATGTTCTTTCCATCTGTGATAACATACATTACCAAAAACTAAATCGGTAAGATCCTTGAAAAGTTGGGGCAATATTTTGTCATTTGCATTTGAAAAGACTCCCCGCAATAGCCTTGCCAGTTGCAAGCTACTTGCAGTCCAATACCGAAACTACGATTTGCAAAAGGGCTCTTTGTGGAGATCAAAAGTGGCAAGCTTCAATCAGTGCTAAAACGAGGAGTTGGAAAAACATCTCAAGGCAACGAAAACAACAGTACAGGCTGGCAAGGATAGCGCGTCTGCAAAGAACTACAGCACCCGATGGGGCATGATATGAAAACGGAGGTGGACAACTTTGTCAGGAAAACTCGCTCGAAAATAGCCTGTGAGGAGGCTCTCGTGCGTTGTCCATGAGCAAAGTCGCAAGAGATGAGTCAGCGACCGAAGAAAACAGTGAGGGACCTGGCATTTAATACGCAAGGTATACAAGAAATGTCCACAGCTTAGTTCACGTTTCTCTTCCGTTACGCCAAATTTTGAAAAAGAGAACAGTAGTCCAGACGTGGTATCATGCTGGAGGTATATGTCAATGCAGTTGCCGGGAGATAACGCAGCACAGACCATTTCTTTACTGAACATTAGTAGCAAATTTGTTTTCTTATTAAAGAGCTAGTTTCAATGAAATTTAGAGTTTGTTGTATTACTACTTGTTAACCGAGAGAGGTCTTTACGGGAAAATCTCAAACCTTGGTGTTGCCATATCGACCCCGCTTCGGCAAGGTCTCGGTTTGAGATTTTCCCGTGAAGACCGAACGTTCGAGGTTAATAAGGTGTTTATTATATGGCTTTTTGCTTTGTTTCTGCAGGCCCGCAATCGGCTCGTGGGCGTTACCAGAGAGTAATGCCCTAAACCAAGCCATTCAGAGCGCGCGTTATATTATGGGGAATAAACGGCATCTGGACTTTCGAATGGTCTTGCGGTACCATAACAACCCGTAAATTCAAAACGAAAGAAATTAAGAAACAAATCGCTCCACAAACCCTTGGAACTTTAACTACTCTTTTCTTTGTTTTAATTAAATGTTGAATACTACAGATAATTATAAAAACACCTTTCGTAAGGTATATTTTAGCCACTGATTTATTTGATGAGTCAAACATGATTTCGACATAAAATAACTATAAAAATGATTCGATTTGCTTACATAATTATCTGTTATTATATTCTTATGATGCTTTTAAGATCTACTGATTTACGGTAGCTGGCACACTTTGAGTGAATAAAATTTCTTTAGGCATATAAAAATAATACTATGGGTCAGCTATCACATTACTACTACAGTTATAAAATCAACACCAAAACAGACGTTTACACATCTAACGCCGAGGTGTTCATTAAAAACTCTGTCCGTTCGCCTCCATCACGTCGCCTGTATTTCGTACCCGCCACCGATCCTTCGATTGATTCTTCTTGCGTAAACAAGACCGAAACCGATTTATCTGCTTTAGGGCAAACTTATACTCATTCCCATATTAATTCCACGTTTTGCAAAGTGGAATCTCACTAATCTGGTCGGCAAAAATGTAGCTTTACTAATGGAATAGCTGCAATTCTTTTCACGATTATATTTTTGTTTGGGCCAAAAGAAAAGACTTCGTAACAGAAACTTTTAAAAAATAATGGCCTCGGTTCTTAGTTCGTATTACAGAAAGTTGCCGGGAAACTTAAACGTTAAACAAGAAATAAAATTGTTTTTCAGTGGTATTACTCTGTCGAGTTCGAGAATAGTCAAAATAAAAAAGGAGTAAAATATAAACAGGACTACGAATTTTTTTATCACTTCCAAAAATAATTCACAAAAAGTGAATATATCAAAATTTTGGCCTCCATCCTGGTTTTGGTAGTCCTGTAACTGGGGGAGAGCTTATATCGGGAGGTGAGACAACGGAGAGCTGATAAGCGGCATAATAAAACCGTGTGCAAGTGTGCTAACAAGAGAGCGATATGGTTGAAGACTTTTGAATAAGGCGGTCACATGCAAACAGATAGTCGATTGTTCAGTACTTGCGCGGGAAAACCGGAAAGCGAGCAGAACCCAGATCCGAAACACTGTTAACACTAAACGAAAATTCAATGGATATTTCCTGGAAGAATATCTGTAGTCTGCTACATCTTCTCGGTCAGTGGGAACGACGCCAAAAAGCGGGGAGGCGAGCGAAAATCGTGCGGGGGTCAAGAAGAGAAAAAGTGAAAGGCTCCTTCCCTTTTTTCTCTCCCTGAACCTTGAACAGGCTAGGATATCTGAAGTGCTTACATCAGGAAAAGAAATGAGTGCGCGAACAGATACGTCTGTTCACTCAGGTTAGAGTAGACGATAAAACTCAAGGCTACACAGAAGAGAGATTTGTAACTAAACCAAACACAAACTGACAGGACTAAGCCACTCAGGTTTCTAAGCTCCTACAGTAGCTCCAAGCCATTTTGTGATGGTTTCTTCGTATTTCTTGAGCCAGTCGATGTTTGCCTGTGTACGCTCGATGGCCTGTTTACGAGCATTTTCGCTTGTTCCTGCCTCAGAACGCTCAAAGAATGCCTTCATCTGCAAACAATTCAACGTGATTATCAATATCAATTTACTGCCCAGTAAAGAGGTCAGGAGAAAAAAAAATCAATTGGAGGATACTTTCCTGATCGTCATAAATTTGAATTGAATAACTGCTGGTTTACATATGATCTTTACGATCGCTGCAAAAAGCGTTCAGCGATTACTGCGCGGATATGGAAACCACTCTCCAGCGATCGTAACGATCGTAGAGTACTAGTGATTGTTGTGAGAAACATCGCTGACTGTTTGATAGTTTTAAGTTCTATCTCCACGAGTGTAGCGATGACCCCGGGGGATACTCTACAAAGGTTCATACGGAGAGGCTCCGCCCCGAGGTCTAACCCTTTATCCTTTTGTATACCATTTTGACAGAAAAGCTACCCTTTTTGTATAACTTTTATTGGAAAAAGGCACCCCTTTCACATACCTTCTTAGGAACAGTGCATCCCTTTTTTAAACCCTTGGAATGAAGTTAATGAACAATACTACGGGAGCATTACCAAGCATCAAGCATTACCAGAAGAGTTGTTCCAAAAAACAAGAATTATTTGTTCACTTCATGTTGTGGCGAGAGTCAAGATACTCTGATTTCCATACCCTTTCATATACCTCGACTTGTGAAGTCCCTACCCTTAAATATACCTGAAGCCTGAGAAAGGCACCCCCGTCGGGCAGAGCCGTAGAGGCCATCATAGGGAGTACCTCCTACCCCTCCTCCCAAGGGGCGATCATATGGTAACCATTGGTCGACGCGATCATATGGAGACCAGCCCGGCTAGCCTTAGTCGATTGGCGGCAGTTAAAAAAGGCCAACCACGGACCACGTAATTTTGACAAAACACAATGAAAGAAATATGATAAAACACAAACCTGTTCCAGATCAGCCTCGGTACTAAACTGTGTCACACTGTTGGTCAGGCTTGTTAAACGAAAGGTACTGGTACTGAACCTGAAACAGCAGTAACATACGGTTTATCACGTCTCCAACTATCCTTGAAAACCATTATTTGCTTTTATAATATGGCTAGCTCCATGAGCGGGCAAGAAGAACGGAATCCTGCGTTGTGATTGACTACCCGAGTGGGCAAGATGGTGCTACCTTGCACGTTCGGCACTACCCGCTGTGTCCGGCAAGAAAATAGCCTTTATTGAACTAGCACTGTTCGGTCAAGACGGCTAGATATTGGCCTCGTTCCTCTATTTTTGCATGTTTATGAACCTCGACTCCGTCTCGGTCTATAATCAAGCAAAAAAAAAAAAAAAACTTGCCCAATATCCAGACATCTTGACCTCACGCTTGGTCAATGACCCACATATCATGCAATGGTATAGAACAGTACTGCGTGATGACTCAAATAACGGTTGTAAAACATACTCTAAGTCACGCTTAATGAGAGCGTTAAAGAAACACAGAATTGAAATAAATATGGAAAAAGACCATCTACTGGGATGGAGACTTACATGTCAAACAAGGCATTCCAGTTATTTTGAACAAAAGTCCACGCCAGGTATTTTCCAACAGGATTCCAAGCAACGTAACTGATAACACTGACAGCGTCCTGGGACCTAATCTTGGACGAGTCCAGGGAATACCCCAAATACCTGGTGAAAATCAAATATACGCTCCCATATGAGCAACCACTCCTAACATGCAAACATAGTCACGAAAACAAAGTGGTTAAAACGTAAGCATGGGAGTCTTACATGCATTTCTACCTCTTTATTACACAAAAGTAGTTTCAACAACGTAGACGGAACGATTGATTTTTTCTTAAAAAGCACCTAAGTGGGACTATTTTTCTTATGATCTGCCACCACACAGAGGTTGGTGAGCGTCGACGTGCATCACGTATGCCGATTGACGTAATACCAACGCTACTGCCGCCGGCTAAATGTCCTTGCGCAAAGACTTACACGCACGCAAAAATGCTCTTTTTAGAGTATGAGTCGCTGAATTGAACAGAATTCAAATCACGAATTCACCTCATAGAAAACTCGACTCCTGGGAAGAGGGAAGAGGGTAGCTTCCCCATGTTTAAAGAAGAAGAAACGTTATCAAAACATGCTGTAACTTGATCACTGAACTTAGTCACCATAATCCACAATCTAATACATCAAAGTGCATGTGTACTCACATGTTTAGGATCCATGTCTCACGTGACCCAGCCAGTGCATACATCAGTTTACTTTTCTCCGATGCCTCAGAGGTGTTCATAAATTTGTTAAATAACCATTTCCACTCTTCCAGACCAGTATTGGCAATACCATAATGGTAAACTAGCGTTCGCAGGTCCACATCTATCTCAGACCTGTTAACAAACCAGACAAAGTTGAAAGTCTTTGATGAATTGTAGTCAAGGCACGGTGGCATCATGGTTAGTGAGCTTTAGTGCGCTTGACTCCAGATCGAGCTGGGTTCGAGCCCTGGCCGGGGACCTAGTGTTGTGTTCTTAGAGGAGACACTTTACTCTCACAGTGCCTCTCTCCACCCAGGTGTATAAACGGGTAGTGCCAAATTTAATGCTGGGGTAACCCTGCCATGGACCAGCATCCCTTCCAGGAGGCAGTAGAAATACTCCTTAGTAGCTTCATGTTACTGAAACCGGAGATAAGTGCCAGCCTGATGGGCCACTTGGCTCGTATGCAGACTTATGACTTTCTAGCATTTGTTTTCTCTTTTTATCCGTTTCAAATTCATTACTTAAAATCTCTAGGGTATAAATTAGGGACTGGGCAATTTATAAGTGACAGATTCACCTAAAACAAGCTTTAACTTACCCGCTGTTTTCTTTGAATATAAAAGAATGAACAGAAATACGAATAACAAAATGTTTACCTTTGCCCTGTTCTCCATTCGTTAAAAATCTTAGTTGCATTTCCAATGCAATCCGAGTCCCCTGCACTGCACGCTGATCGTAAAATTGCACTTCGAAGGTATCTGATGAAACAAAGGAACACAGATAAGTTTCTGAACTGTACAATAGCACTAACTCATTTTTTTCCCTTCAATGACAGAACATCATGGGTTCATTTACTCACTTTTGAATGTGCTTGTCATCCGGTTTGTTTTCCCATCCAAGCTTATCTGCCAGAGGTTTCACCTTACGTCTTATAAATTCCTGTCATAGATAATTAAAGACAACTAAATACATTGATAAAAACTACAATAATGAACTTAGATGATGACAAATAAGTAATGAAACAAACAAACAAACAAACAAACAAACAAATAACTGACTTACTGGCTGGCTGGCTAACAAACTAAATGATTATCGAATGAATGAACTGACTAACCAAACACATGAAAAACTGACTGGCTAACTGAAGTAATCATCCTGAGAAAGCCAAACAGAAAAAGCCTGGTATTTCACAAAACCACAAAAATTATTCACTTATTGGTAATAACTATTGACAGAAGGAAAGTGAGTGGCAAATAGACTTACTGAAGAGTCAATCCCCAATCACACACCCATTATGAAATAATAACATTAAAATTTGCCATAACCATTGATTCAAGATTCAATAATGCAGATTGAGGGTCCGTAAAGGAGTCACTAACTAAACAGGCATTCTAAAGGTGTGGCCGATTAAGCCCTTATAATGTTAAAAAGAGCACTATCATGGGGACGACTTCAAAAAGTCAAAAGTCAAAAAATAAACCAATGGCACTTTTCTTTCCCTCAAACAAACTGCTAAGCAATATTTATACAATCATGGTAGATCTTCATTCATTTAAGATTTTAACACTCTTAACCAAAAATGCAGCAAAATTCCCAATCCCCTTTACAGAGCCCTTTTGATTTAGTGGACTTTGTGTTCAAAAGTGGTGCACTTGAGAGTACAATACAGGTGTCTGAGACACTGAAACCGCACCGAGACAAGTTAGGGGTTAATGCGTCAACTAAAGAAATTTTTTTTATAACCATGGGCTATCGTTATGTTTTGAGTGACCTGTAGCTTCATGACTTTGTGGGTGCATTCCATCAACAACAGGTAAATTTAATTACCCATAGCATCAAGGGAAATCAAGCACAGTCAGCTGTAACAGATGTTATGGATTATGACCCTAATGACTGTCCTGGTCTTGACAGTGGCTGGTAGAAAGACAAACCTGAAAGTTTCCATTTGCAGGTCGCTCACTTAGAATGCCGTCCAGGTAACCCAAGCTGTTAAGTGCAGTCTTCCAAGGAACATACTTTGTCTCCCCATCTAAATACTCCAGAGTGCCTAGAGCGATATCATATGCTAAATATCCAGCTCTGGGTGGAATGTAAGAATAACAGTGTTAGTTCCAGCCTAAAACAAACAGATAGTCTTATTTGTAAACCAGAATCTGGTTTAAAAAATAATTCCCTTAGAAATGCATTGGATGAATTACTGTAAAAGCAATACCAACAGTACCAACAGTTGGAGTCAACTTTTAAATTATTGAGACTAAGCCCTATTTTACAACTCGTACATTCTTCCTCTCATTTAGTGACTCTACTCTGTAGATGGAAAAAAGTACTAGGTAGGTAGGTAAGTAGTCTTGTGTGAACCACTTTGATCATCAATCACATGATACATACCTTGCCAGGTTGAAAGCATCATTAATTAAACTTGATCTGTCCTCTGCAGTGAAGACCTAAAAGAAAAGTCTCCAACTCAAAACACCTCTGTGTAACTTTGTCTAAGCCTTAACAGTCACCGATCAACTTCGTATCCCTTATCAAGGTAACCATAAGAAAGTTAAAAAGGCAGGCTATGAGCCAGAATAAAACAACTCATCAGTGATGAACACAATTAAATTCTGTCAATTAAGAGGTAATTAAGTTATTCAATTTAGACAAGTAGGTAGGTATAGACAGGTACTACATTATTGTTTTGCATGTCAAATATAAGCTTACCTGCAAAAATGATGCAATTTAATCATAATGGTTGGCATGCAAAAAGATGTAACATATTTCACTTATTTAAAAGCTTATGCATCAGATCAAAATTGCTAAACTGAAGGACAATCAGCAAGTTCATTAGGTATAAATTGAAAGAGCCAGTGCATTTGAGCAGGTGAAGAAAGGAGGAGACCACTAACCAATGCTTTAAGAGCCGTTGGTTAAGCTGATTGGATTAAAGACAGTTGCGTAGAGAATACATAACGACTCAGTTGTGGAATAGTTTAGATGTCTTTATTGTAGACTTTGTTGTTATCGAACAGTGAAGGACATTAACCAATGTTTTTGGTCCAATGGTTAAGGTGGGGGTGTGTGGAATTCAGGGGATCCCCTTAGTTGACATTGACTTATTGATTGTTAGTCATGTGATCACATGACATAATTTTACTCGCATCGTATCTTGGTGTACATGTTTTCGTTGCATTCATGGATTGAACTGTGGAATTCTAGTTTAAACTCAGTCAGATTCACTTAAGCCAGTTGTTGTAAGTCGGAAAACGGAATTAATTCATTACAGTACACATCATACAAAATTCTGTACTCACAGTATGATCGTTATTGAGTTGCTTAATGAGAGCTTTCCAGTTGTCATCATCATAGTGAACCCTGTAGAATCCTACTTGTTTAAAGTTCCCTTTGATCCACTTATTTGCAGGCCATGAAAACTCAACTATAGCATGAAAAAGCTTATGAATCATAAAGGTGGAAAGCATGTAAATGTAGTTTTTAGTAAACACACTAAGGTTGTGTTCTATTGGGAACAACTGTTTCTGATTGCTTGGGTTTTTGTGTTCTACTGCAGAAAAATAACATTTTCGGTTGGCTTGGTTGATCAACATTTTCAACAAGCCTCAAACCAGTTTGAAACAGATGAAAAAGTATTTGCGTGATTATGTCGCGTGATTATAGCTTGCATAAGCTGACCCAAGGATTACCGCATTTCAACCAAAAATGGTTGGAAAAGTGTTCTAATGAGAAACATCAACTGAATGAACCAAAACTTGTTGAAACACAACCTAAATGAATGGAACATTTGCAAAGCACAAACAAGAACAATAATTATCGATGCACGGCTGATTCACTGATTGATGAATCAATAGCAACTGACTAATTAACTTTTATTGAGTAGCAGGTTAAAACATTAGTTGAAACTGCAGTCAAACCTTCATCAGATGAGATGTTCATCCAGGTCATTTTAGGGTCTTGGGGTGAGTCTTCAAACACATATGTCAGAGGAACATACCATTTGTAACTGTCACATGCAAGAAACAAACATTGGATGTTAATGATGTCAAAGTTCATAGATATAAACTACACTTAAATTACACTGTCTTACTACTACACGTACATAGTATTACACGTACTGAGAGGGAATATATTAATCCTCGTGGCAGCCCAGGCCATCAAAAAAAAAAAAAATAATAAAAAAAAATAGAGAGACAGACATGACAATATGCAACATTTGATGAGCACTTTTCCTTTGTCCCCATTGCTGGTTCAGACACATTATGCATGCAGAGTGCTTTGAAGTTTTGTGGCCTATTCAATGGTTGTCACAGACATCAGTTTTTCAAAATTCCTGGACTTTTCCCTTTTCTCTGTCAAGCAAACTCAAAATCTTGTGCTTGTCCATCTAGTCTTACATACCTGCATGCATTTATTTTGATTAGTTTCACAATTTTGTATTACATGCACATCAAAACAATTTGCTCCAGTTGATGATTTTTTTAAGCTCCATGCCTGTCCACTTCACAACGCATAAACTTTGTAATGATCGACTACTAAGGAGAAATTAGTAAGATTCAATTGTTAAACATTACTCACTCGTATGGAGAGGATACTGTGACATTAGCATTAGGATCCAACAGGAAATGTTTCTGCGTGGCTGTAGCCTTGCCAGAACTTTTGCCACGGTTGATTGTCACCAATGGAAATCCCATTTGAAGTGTCCATGTGTCCATGATGGTTTTGACGTCCATTTCTGCTTTCTGATGGATATACCATTGATAATAGTTAATAATATGTAACTGAGTGGGAGGCCTTAGATCATGATGAAGTGACCAAGTTACTATTTGTGAGCATGATGTTGTTAAAAACCTGTACGGTATCTGCATGGTTAAATAATTATGAGACAACATGTTCAATATGTTGAATAATAACCATGTTTATTCCTAATATTGAACATATCAGCAGGGGTTTCATTAACCCATTGACTACTGGAGCTTTTTGCCAAAAAAGTCACAGGAAATTTTGCTGCGAGTTTTTAACTCAAATTTCTGACCATTTTTGAGCATATGTCAGGCTCCATTAAGCCGATCACTCTCATCTTGGTATCATTGGAAAGATCTTTTCCTGCTGCAGAACTTGAATATAGATGATGCCAATTTTGGTCAAAGCTGATGACATCAGAAGTGGAACAAAGGCCAACGCTTGTCACCGCCGATTATGTGCGGCATGGGAGTCAATGGGTTAGGAGCCAGGCACCAGGTAAATTGACCGACTGTGATGATGATTTTGCCGACCTCATTTGACCATCTGGAGAAAAGTTTTTCTTGTAAACAAGTTCAGTTCAAAAGGTTTGGCCCGCCTGTGAAAATCAGTCACCCTCCTACTGAAAATTTTAATGAAACTCCTGTATCAGTCAGCAAGTCAGCTGGACAATTTTAATAATTTACATAATTATAAATACAAAGGCAAGTAAAAACTTATGATAGAATATTCCGACATTTCGGCTACCTCATGATGCCATTATCAAGGAATGAATGAACAAACAGATTCGATTCGCACTAAAGCATTTGTTTTAAATTAACTTCATTTACGCAAATCTACAGGTCAAACTATTTTGAACTTGCTCTTTTTATTCATTCCTTGAGAATGGCGGCATAAGGTCGCCGAACTGTCAGAACATTCTATTATTAGTTTTTACTTGCCTGCGTATTTCTAAAGCATTATCAATAAGTAATTATAAATGACAGGGACAGATACTACTGATGGAGAAAAATGCAAGTACGAATTGACAATGGCCTATTTCTGAAGAGACTTTAAAATAGATATAGTTACCTCTCCTAAAGCATTCCAAAGGTCACTGGTCTCAGCATTGCTGAATGCATACTTTCTCAAGTAATACTGTTAATAAAACCAGAAACAATCAACAAAGTAAAATAGTTATTGTTTTGACATTCAAAATAACAATGTCTAATAAATAAATTTTTGTATTAATAGAAATAAATAATTTATAGTCATGTTCAGTTTGAAACAGCTTATAATAATTAAGACTAGTCTGTCAAAAGACTCGGAGGAAATTACCACAATCTGAATTAATTACTTACACTTAGTCCTTCCTTGAATTTTTCTCTTCCAACAAAATCTTCCAGCATTCGAATGATGGAGGAACCCTGAGAATTTAAGGTTAACACCTCTAAAATTTAAGGACATTTACGAGAAACCTTTAGATAACATTTTACATATTTTTTTTCAAACTTATAATTTGGTCAGATAGTGTTTTACTTCTGTAAGAAATGTAGGAAAAATGGGGCCACTGCATTAAACACAGATAAAGTGTATGAAAAATACCCTGAGCTTGAAAATTTGGCCCAAGAAACTCAACATGCATGGTCTCCAGGGTTTTTTAGTTTTTAATATTTATTTACAATAGGTTTTTTAGGTTCTTTAATAAATTGTGCTCCTGTTTGCTTAGCATTAATTAGTTCTTTTTAGAAAAGTTAATTTGCACCGAAACATCAAAGAATGTGGCCATTGTAAGCTCTAAGGGTACATGGTAGGGAAGAATGGCAAACGTTTTTCTTCAATTTTGAGTGGATTATTTGGTACCTGTAGGTTTATTGTCGCTATCCAGCTTATCTTCTCATGCTTGGGCATGACTTAAAACACTGTTCCTAATTCATCTGCTTATAAAATGATCATATATCTTCCAGCATGAAAGGTATTGATGTCACAAACTGCATTCGCAGCTTGAAACTATGGTTAACTGGGTATTTGTGCACCAATTGTTTCAAGTGTACATTTTAAGCTACTTAATTAGTTAACACATTAATAGACCAATTTTGATGTATTAAAATTCAGCCTAAAACAAAAGACCTGAGCATGAGGCTCAGGGGAATACAAACAAACTCGTAGTTATCCTCCATAGCCTCGTGCTGAGGTCTTTTGTCTTAGGCTGAGTTTTCATATATTGAAATTAGTCTATTGGCCATGCAACATCTGCACTGTTTAATAAATTCCAGCATTACTGCAAGTTTACCTTGCTGTAGGAAATCCTATCAAACAACTGTTTAATCTTTTTTGGGTTATCAACTTCAACTGATATAGGATGAGAACTTGCCAGAGAATCTAGCGGAAAAACATTCTGAAGATCTGCAAGAAGAAACTGCTCCATCTGCAAGAAAAACAATTTTGTGGTTGATGGGTGCCAAGAACAAGCACTTAATTACAAGTTATTACTGGTTCTGAAGGAAATTTAAGCTTAATTTTGTTTCCAAAGAAACAGTGGAAATAAATCAAACAACTGGTTTCTGGAGAGATCAATCATTAAATAGACCACACAAAATACGTAAATCCACCTAAATTGGCAGTAATGTTTGTCATTGTTATTTTGTAAATTCCACTACAGTACAGTCTATTGGCCAATCAGGCCAACCCCCTAAGTTTCCAGTTTTAGTTGCATGAAGTGACCAGGAGTATTGGTATTTGTACTCGACCCTGGATGGGTTCTTAACCATTGTGGGGTTACAGCCCCCACCTCCCCCCCTCCCCCGCTCCAACGCCAGGTTCTACAAGCATCATTCATTAACTTACACGTGGGTGGAGAGAGGTACTGTGAGAGTGAGGAGCCTTGTCCAAAAACACAAAACAGTGATCTTGGCCTAGGTTGAAGCCTGGGTCGCTTGATGCAGGTCTCATGACACTGACCACCACGTTGCCCCTAGCTGCACAAGCATATTAAACTAATCAGCTGATATTGATGAAGCCTATAGCTACTTACCATTTCCCAGTCTGGGTGAGTGTGGTTCACTCCTAAATACTCCACAAAACTGGCAAATCCCTCATTCAACCACAAGTCATTCCACCATTTGGGAGAAACAATGTTTCCAAACCACTGAAAAAGTACACTGTGTGAAATGATTACTGAATACATGCAATAAAATAATAAAATAAGATAGTTAATAGACTGAACAGTTTTATTTCTTCCTACCTGGTGAGCTAATTCATGAGATACCACCACAGCCACTCGTTGTTTATTACTTTCAGAAGACACACCTTCATTAAAAAGTAAAGCTGTCTCACGGTAAGTGATCAAGCCCCAGTTTTCCATAGCTCCAGATGAGAAATCAGGGATGGCAATCATGTCTGAATTAGCAATCAAAGGTTAGTGTGAGTGGNTTGTAGACTTTGTTGTTATCGAACAGTGAAGGACATTAACCAATGTTTTTGGTCCAATGGTTAAGGTGGGGGTGTGTGGAATTCAGGGGATCCCCTTAGTTGACATTGACTTATTGATTGTTAGTCATGTGATCACATGACATAATTTTACTCGCATCGTATCTTGGTGTACATGTTTTCGTTGCATTCATGGATTGAACTGTGGAATTCTAGTTTAAACTCAGTCAGATTCACTTAAGCCAGTTGTTGTAAGTCGGAAAACGGAATTAATTCATTACAGTACACATCATACAAAATTCTGTACTCACAGTATGATCGTTATTGAGTTGCTTAATGAGAGCTTTCCAGTTGTCATCATCATAGTGAACCCTGTAGAATCCTACTTGTTTAAAGTTCCCTTTGATCCACTTATTTGCAGGCCATGAAAACTCAACTATAGCATGAAAAAGCTTATGAATCATAAAGGTGGAAAGCATGTAAATGTAGTTTTTAGTAAACACACTAAGGTTGTGTTCTATTGGGAACAACTGTTTCTGATTGCTTGGGTTTTTGTGTTCTACTGCAGAAAAATAACATTTTCGGTTGGCTTGGTTGATCAACATTTTCAACAAGCCTCAAACCAGTTTGAAACAGATGAAAAAGTATTTGCGTGATTATGTCGCGTGATTATAGCTTGCATAAGCTGACCCAAGGATTACCGCATTTCAACCAAAAATGGTTGGAAAAGTGTTCTAATGAGAAACATCAACTGAATGAACCAAAACTTGTTGAAACACAACCTAAATGAATGGAACATTTGCAAAGCACAAACAAGAACAATAATTATCGATGCACGGCTGATTCACTGATTGATGAATCAATAGCAACTGACTAATTAACTTTTATTGAGTAGCAGGTTAAAACATTAGTTGAAACTGCAGTCAAACCTTCATCAGATGAGATGTTCATCCAGGTCATTTTAGGGTCTTGGGGTGAGTCTTCAAACACATATGTCAGAGGAACATACCATTTGTAACTGTCACATGCAAGAAACAAACATTGGATGTTAATGATGTCAAAGTTCATAGATATAAACTACACTTAAATTACACTGTCTTACTACTACACGTACATAGTATTACACGTACTGAGAGGGAATATATTAATCCTCGTGGCAGCCCAGGCCATCAAAAAAAAAAAAAATAATAAAAAAAAATAGAGAGACAGACATGACAATATGCAACATTTGATGAGCACTTTTCCTTTGTCCCCATTGCTGGTTCAGACACATTATGCATGCAGAGTGCTTTGAAGTTTTGTGGCCTATTCAATGGTTGTCACAGACATCAGTTTTTCAAAATTCCTGGACTTTTCCCTTTTCTCTGTCAAGCAAACTCAAAATCTTGTGCTTGTCCATCTAGTCTTACATACCTGCATGCATTTATTTTGATTAGTTTCACAATTTTGTATTACATGCACATCAAAACAATTTGCTCCAGTTGATGATTTTTTTAAGCTCCATGCCTGTCCACTTCACAACGCATAAACTTTGTAATGATCGACTACTAAGGAGAAATTAGTAAGATTCAATTGTTAAACATTACTCACTCGTATGGAGAGGATACTGTGACATTAGCATTAGGATCCAACAGGAAATGTTTCTGCGTGGCTGTAGCCTTGCCAGAACTTTTGCCACGGTTGATTGTCACCAATGGAAATCCCATTTGAAGTGTCCATGTGTCCATGATGGTTTTGACGTCCATTTCTGCTTTCTGATGGATATACCATTGATAATAGTTAATAATATGTAACTGAGTGGGAGGCCTTAGATCATGATGAAGTGACCAAGTTACTATTTGTGAGCATGATGTTGTTAAAAACCTGTACGGTATCTGCATGGTTAAATAATTATGAGACAACATGTTCAATATGTTGAATAATAACCATGTTTATTCCTAATATTGAACATATCAGCAGGGGTTTCATTAACCCATTGACTACTGGAGCTTTTTGCCAAAAAAGTCACAGGAAATTTTGCTGCGAGTTTTTAACTCAAATTTCTGACCATTTTTGAGCATATGTCAGGCTCCATTAAGCCGATCACTCTCATCTTGGTATCATTGGAAAGATCTTTTCCTGCTGCAGAACTTGAATATAGATGATGCCAATTTTGGTCAAAGCTGATGACATCAGAAGTGGAACAAAGGCCAACGCTTGTCACCGCCGATTATGTGCGGCATGGGAGTCAATGGGTTAGGAGCCAGGCACCAGGTAAATTGACCGACTGTGATGATGATTTTGCCGACCTCATTTGACCATCTGGAGAAAAGTTTTTCTTGTAAACAAGTTCAGTTCAAAAGGTTTGGCCCGCCTGTGAAAATCAGTCACCCTCCTACTGAAAATTTTAATGAAACTCCTGTATCAGTCAGCAAGTCAGCTGGACAATTTTAATAATTTACATAATTATAAATACAAAGGCAAGTAAAAACTTATGATAGAATATTCCGACATTTCGGCTACCTCATGATGCCATTATCAAGGAATGAATGAACAAACAGATTCGATTCGCACTAAAGCATTTGTTTTAAATTAACTTCATTTACGCAAATCTACAGGTCAAACTATTTTGAACTTGCTCTTTTTATTCATTCCTTGAGAATGGCGGCATAAGGTCGCCGAACTGTCAGAACATTCTATTATTAGTTTTTACTTGCCTGCGTATTTCTAAAGCATTATCAATAAGTAATTATAAATGACAGGGACAGATACTACTGATGGAGAAAAATGCAAGTACGAATTGACAATGGCCTATTTCTGAAGAGACTTTAAAATAGATATAGTTACCTCTCCTAAAGCATTCCAAAGGTCACTGGTCTCAGCATTGCTGAATGCATACTTTCTCAAGTAATACTGTTAATAAAACCAGAAACAATCAACAAAGTAAAATAGTTATTGTTTTGACATTCAAAATAACAATGTCTAATAAATAAATTTTTGTATTAATAGAAATAAATAATTTATAGTCATGTTCAGTTTGAAACAGCTTATAATAATTAAGACTAGTCTGTCAAAAGACTCGGAGGAAATTACCACAATCTGAATTAATTACTTACACTTAGTCCTTCCTTGAATTTTTCTCTTCCAACAAAATCTTCCAGCATTCGAATGATGGAGGAACCCTGAGAATTTAAGGTTAACACCTCTAAAATTTAAGGACATTTACGAGAAACCTTTAGATAACATTTTACATATTTTTTTTTTCAAACTTATAATTTGGTCAGATAATGTTTTACTTCTGTAAGAAATGTAGGAAAAATGGGGCCACTGCATTAAACACAGATAAAGTGTATGAAAAATACCCTGAGCTTGAAAATTTGGCCCAAGAAACTCAACATGCATGGTCTCCAGGGTTTTTTAGTTTTTAATATTTATTTACAATAGGTTTTTTAGGTTCTTTAATAAATTGTGCTCCTGTTTGCTTAGCATTAATTAGTTCTTTTTAGAAAAGTTAATTTGCACCGAAACATCAAAGAATGTGGCCATTGTAAGCTCTAAGGGTACATGGTAGGGAAGAATGGCAAACGTTTTTCTTCAATTTTGAGTGGATTATTTGGTACCTGTAGGTTTATTGTCGCTATCCAGCTTATCTTCTCATGCTTGGGCATGACTTAAAACACTGTTCCTAATTCATCTGCTTATAAAATGATCATATATCTTCCAGCATGAAAGGTATTGATGTCACAAACTGCATTCGCAGCTTGAAACTATGGTTAACTGGGTATTTGTGCACCAATTGTTTCAAGTGTACATTTTAAGCTACTTAATTAGTTAACACATTAATAGACCAATTTTGATGTATTAAAATTCAGCCTAAAACAAAAGACCTGAGCATGAGGCTCAGGGGAATACAAACAAACTCGTAGTTATCCTCCATAGCCTCGTGCTGAGGTCTTTTGTCTTAGGCTGAGTTTTCATATATTGAAATTAGTCTATTGGCCATGCAACATCTGCACTGTTTAATAAATTCCAGCATTACTGCAAGTTTACCTTGCTGTAGGAAATCCTATCAAACAACTGTTTAATCTTTTTTGGGTTATCAACTTCAACTGATATAGGATGAGAACTTGCCAGAGAATCTAGCGGAAAAACATTCTGAAGATCTGCAAGAAGAAACTGCTCCATCTGCAAGAAAAACAATTTTGTGGTTGATGGGTGCCAAGAACAAGCACTTAATTACAAGTTATTACTGGTTCTGAAGGAAATTTAAGCTTAATTTTGTTTCCAAAGAAACAGTGGAAATAAATCAAACAACTGGTTTCTGGAGAGATCAATCATTAAATAGACCACACAAAATACGTAAATCCACCTAAATTGGCAGTAATGTTTGTCATTGTTATTTTGTAAATTCCACTACAGTACAGTCTATTGGCCAATCAGGCCAACCCCCTAAGTTTCCAGTTTTAGTTGCATGAAGTGACCAGGAGTATTGGTATTTGTACTCGACCCTGGATGGGTTCTTAACCATTGTGGGGTTACAGCCCCCACCTCCCCCCCTCCCCCGCTCCAACGCCAGGTTCTACAAGCATCATTCATTAACTTACACGTGGGTGGAGAGAGGTACTGTGAGAGTGAGGAGCCTTGTCCAAAAACACAAAACAGTGATCTTGGCCTAGGTTGAAGCCTGGGTCGCTTGATGCAGGTCTCATGACACTGACCACCACGTTGCCCCTAGCTGCACAAGCATATTAAACTAATCAGCTGATATTGATGAAGCCTATAGCTACTTACCATTTCCCAGTCTGGGTGAGTGTGGTTCACTCCTAAATACTCCACAAAACTGGCAAATCCCTCATTCAACCACAAGTCATTCCACCATTTGGGAGAAACAATGTTTCCAAACCACTGAAAAAGTACACTGTGTGAAATGATTACTGAATACATGCAATAAAATAATAAAATAAGATAGTTAATAGACTGAACAGTTTTATTTCTTCCTACCTGGTGAGCTAATTCATGAGATACCACCACAGCCACTCGTTGTTTATTACTTTCAGAAGACACACCTTCATTAAAAAGTAAAGCTGTCTCACGGTAAGTGATCAAGCCCCAGTTTTCCATAGCTCCAGATGAGAAATCAGGGATGGCAATCATGTCTGAATTAGCAATCAAAGGTTAGTGTGAGTGGCATAATAGGCCATTTATGTGTGAATTAAATGTACACTAAATTAATGTAATTTAGGCAAAGTTTGACTTGAGCCAATGCTAGTCAGCAACCTTCCAGGCAGCCCTGCTCAGTGGGGTCTCATTTGGGGGTTTTGCAGAGCTTACATGTTTTACTTTCCAGCTGTATAAGAACAGTTTGCAGTTTGCTTTGGAATTTTTTTGCCATTTGTGCCCGTGGCATGCTATTTCTCCCTAACCTCCCTCTCTTTTGCTGGTTATAATGCTAAATACATGAGGCTGTAAGTAGTTTCTGGTGGTACCTGGTGGTTGCCACTTTCAGGGTTGCCATGGATGGCTGCATGCTCTGCTCTAGGCTCATATCTTATAGGCTCAACCATCCATTAGGCACCTTTCCCAAGCTCATCAATAAATTGGTGATGAGTTTAATGATGCATTATCACTCTGCAGATTAAAGTTTATAATGTGTGATTTTGTGTTCTAGCTATAATACTGCCTGAGAAAAAAATGGACATGATTCAGACATCATGCATCTAACAATGAGAACTGCTGTGTACACCTTGTTGTTAGTTTCAGAAGACCTTTCAAAAACATTAAAAAGCTCAGATATGTCATGTTTAAGGCAAATTTCAACAAACCTTGCTTTGGAAGAGGATAACCAAGGTTGTAGTATTTCTCATAGTAGGTGATAATGTCCCTTCCAACACCTAGTGCAAACTCTGTTTGGTTCACTTGGGCAGGAGTTGTCCATACTCTGAGCTAAAATTACAACCACAGCAAATACTGTAGAGCTCAACTATTACATGTAAGCCCTTTCCCTTACACCACTGTGTCAGTCCTTTAAGTCCAGGTTCCTGAACAATTAAGCCTTCCTCTCTCCCTTTGCCCTCTGAAATCTCTGTTCCAACACTTTCCCCCAGTATTAATTTTACTGGGTAAATTACGACTGAGGCAATGTTATTTGCTTGTTTGTTTGCTTATTTATTTGCTAGCAGTGTTTTCCTTTCCGCCTCAAAAAAGGACTAAGGCAAGTGCCTTGGTTTGCCTGTTACCAGCTAAGACCCTGAAGAATATAAAATTATTTATTATTCAATGTTAGAGATCATACCATGCATGAATTCAGAACCAAATATTTGCCTGAATATCAGACATGAACCCAATGAATGCACGAATTAAAAAAATGTGTATATATATGAGTGACTCACTGTGATATTGTTATGCTGTCCAGTGGTTGCATTAGTGAACTTGAAATCACACACAATGAATGCCAGCAAATACGTTGACATAGGAACCGACTTCTTAAAATGAGATTCAATTCTTCCATTCTTCAAAGTTCGCTTCTTAACCACTGGCATGTTTGACAGCGCTTTGTAATCTTTGTCATGAGCAATCACAGTGGAAAATGTTGCTTTCATTGCAGGCTCATCAAAACAAGGTAGCGCTTTACGTGCATCTGTTGGTTCAAACTTTGTTGTGGCAAGAAGTCTGAAGACAGAAAAACAAATATGTATTGGCTATTCTAGTATACATGTGCTGCCATATAAACACTACTTTTACAATGGTAGTGTCAGCTCAACAAGTGAAATACCACAAAATTTTTAGACAGTATCTCCTGGAGTTAGCTTGGTCAAATGGCTTTAAATCAGTGTGGGACTTAATACAGGCTATGTTTGTTAAGAGGCTAGAGTTAATAATATGGCTTTGTAATCAGTATTTAACTGCATTCACATAATCCACAAGATTTGAACACTGTCTGAATAATAAGCGCACCCGAGCACTTATGAATTGAACATCTTGTACAACTGTCAAGACTTCTTTCTGCCATCTTTAGTTTGCACGAGGAAGCAATATACATATATTTTCAAGTGAAAAGAGCAGAACACAAACAAGGTCTCAGTTTTTTTAAGGTTTGGTACTGGAGG